CTCCCCTGCATTTTTTCCGTCTTCCCTTATGTTGCTGCTTTCTGCTTCTCTTTTCCTCCTCTGTTTTTATCCTATGCACTTACAATTACATGGTGTTTTATTGTATGGTGCATTCCCAGGTACTGTGATTTTGCATCACGTGTTCAGGTGCTCCCAAGACCTGCCCTGCACATGCCTGTCAGCCATCTCTCCAGATGACCAGAGATGGGTTAGATCATGCCTTGAGAAGAGAGTTGTAGATTGCTGCTAAAAGTGTGTGCGTGTGTCACCAAAAATGGTAAGGTTAGCGAATCTGTACCAGTGTAAATTAAGTCCTGCCTGCACTGGAATAGTAAGTCTTACTTGCTAGACTATTACAAAAAGCGATCTGCTTGAGTCATTGCAAGCCCCCTGAAGTAAGCTCATTTAAGCAGATTTAACTGTTCTTTACACACACTGTTTTTGGTGAAAGGGACATGGCCGTTGCTGGAGAAGGCTCAGCAAGACCTCTGCTCAGTTAACAACTACAGTCAAGAGGCAAAGGGGATAGTGAGATGCAGTGGGAACAAGAGGGAGCACGCTCTTCAAAGGTTGTAAAGCCACGATATCCGGATTCTGTCTGGATCACCCTCACTGCAGAGCCCTTCCTGCATGTGAAAAAACAAACAAACTTGTAGCCACAGACAGATTTGAAAACATTCGGAGTGTGGAAGGCAAATAAAAAGGAGATCATAGAAGTCTCTCTAATAATGACTGAGGTGCAGAGGGCAGAAAGGGCTTTTCTGTTTTCCCCAGCTTATAACAGAGTGCTGCTTTTTCTCAATGCAGTTAGAAGCTGGTAAGTGGGTAAGTGAATAAGTGGATTTTTTTTTTTTGGTCTTTTTAAGCAGCATGTAACTAAAATTGCAGTTTGCTATCGCAGCTTATGTGGAAGTTTAAAAAAGAATTCAGCAAAACTGTGAAGTTGATATTTATGTGGCTAAGATACATTTTAGGAAGGATATTAAGATCTCCATGTTTCAGTTTGAAGCTACCCTTTTTAATTACTGTGAATTAGTAATTGGCCTTTCTCTTAAAGTATCTAGTCTTGATCAATTAGAGCCAGGACAGTGTATTTAAGGGACCATAGATGTCATTTGATATGTGAGTTCCTGTATTTCTGACTTAATTAAATAATTCGTTATTAGTGACTTAGTTAAAGCAGTGTTTATTCGGTGACTTTGAGCTGTTTGGTGTTTCAGTTCCTTTTAAACTTTGGCAGCAAATATGCACTGCTTCACTCTATATATAAATTATTATTTCATGTAAGTCATTTTAATATATGAAATCCTACACTGACTTATAATCCAAGTTGCTGTACTTTCAAATTTAATTTTAATGAGATTTAGGGTTTTTTAAATATTAAAAAAATCTATTTTGACTTTTAAAACAAACACTTTCTATTACAGCAATAAAGTCTATTTTTATCAATCCTGATTTATTCTGCCTAGTTATTCAGGCCTTTTGGTTGGTCACGAGTCCAGCTGCCAGGGGAGAAGGCAGTGAGAGCTGGGGCTGAGATGAGCCCAGTGGGCAAGGGGCAGGCAGCCGCTGCCAGCTCTCCAGCAGCTGAGAACGTAACCAGTCACGGGCTTTGCTGTGAGCCAGGGCTCGCTGGCATTGTGATTTAGAGGTTGAAGGGCGCAGCCATGGAAAAGCAGTAGAGGAACTGTTTGTCCCTTTGATTTTATTTGGCTCTTGATGGCTTGCTGGTTCCTTGACTGTTGCTGGGTGCTCCGAAGTAGCCAGGATTGAAGAGTGGTTCACCTCTTCAGACTATGCAGAAGACCATTTTCTTGCTCGGTTGCTTTTCCCTCTTTACATACATACACAATTGCAGTACTTTGGTTTTAAGAAACACGAACGCTTGCTGCTTCCTATCACTTGGTTAACTTTGGAGAGTCAACCCACATGAATGGATGTGCGCCGGCCTCTGTTCCTGCGGTGCACCAGCAGACCTGTACATCCCGTTAGCTGTACCGGTGCCAACTCATTAATGGTGGTGGAGATGCCCGAGTGTCACTTGGCACAACTGTGGGGTCTGCACCCTATCCTGGGGCTTCCTTTATAGCTCCCAATTGATGAACAGCAGAAAAGAA